CATATTTGTATCACTCGTCAAATATAGCAGGGATGAAGAGCAGCTGATTTGAAAAAACAAACTCGAGAGGCGGCGAAGTTGACCGCAGTGCAGAATCGCTTTATAGTTTAAATCTCCTAACAATGTTGTCCTTTTTAGACAGAGGTTTATTATATTTATAGCCCTTACCCTTAATAACATTCATTTTCTGGGCTCAATATGTGTCTTGGCCGTTTTCGTTGTGATCGCTAAATTCAACTTGTTTCCCTTTGTTTATAATATTATCACCGCTTTGTTTTGAAATCACTTCCGTGAGTTTCGCCCCGCCCCTCGCTCCAAGGACCATTAGACCATTTAGTAAGGTAAAAAGCAAAAAGGCCTCTCAAACGCTCTTCCGTTTACGTGTTTAATAAAGAAAAACAATTGGACGGTTGATACACGGATTGCTCCTACACCTATAATAATTTCGCCTTTCATTGTAATACTTTATAAACCAGTTAAACTTACAGATGTCATTGTGAATTGGAAAACTGCATTTAAATGTTTTAAAGGTCAACGTTTCAATGTATGGTTCAGCAATTGTTGGTCGTTTACTAGGAATTTACATATTTTAAGCTCAAATACGTTGTTCTATGTTTAAACCTTCAGACACATTTTGACGTGTTTCAGTTCAGCACATCATTTATTTTGTGATGATTTAAAAGTACCGGTACAATCCAGAATAATATACGTACTCGCCTTTATCTTTTTGCCATTTTAGCCTTTTGACCAATTTCTTCATATCACAGTTTTGCATGATGTCACTGTAGGACAATGTTTTAAGGATCTCTTGTTGAGCTAGGTTGTCAGTTTGAAATGTCTGGATGAAGATGTAAATGATTTACAAATGTTAATTTTTGTTTTTAAAAAATGCCTCTTTTCATCCTCTGTCTGAGGGAAAACCCCAAAAAGCATGACAGGGCCCCTTTAAGTTATTTTATTTATTTGTGTCTGCTTCTGAGAAGATAATATATAAGTTATACAGTTATTTCTGCAAGAAAATTACAATATAATTACTGTTTGATCTTCATATTGTGTATTCATGTCTATAATTTTGAGCACCAAATTATTGAAAAGTATCGATAAGAGTATCGAAAAATACCGATACAGATAAGCAGTACCGGTATCGATAAAATCCTAACGATACCCATCCATAGTGATAAGTGGTCACAGAATCAGGCCTTGTAGGTATTATGCTAACAGTTTATTGTTAACAGTGACTAATAGATTGAAATGAGAACTGTCATGAACCTTTTTAAGAATATTTATTAATGTTGTCATTAAGTGTCACAGAGTCATTTTTAATGCAAAGTTGACATTATTGGAGATCTCTTTATAACAACAGCTTGGAATGACACCGGCAATATAGAGATGTATAGCCTGATTATCACATTTTAAAAAAACAATTAGATTAAGGTGTTAGCATCATATTCAAATGTGCTTGGTTTTTACATCCTTATAATAATACAAATCATTAACTTTACAACGGTGGTATAATTTTGACTAGTCATATTGATGGCACAAGTAAGTAGTAAGTAACATTGACCTTTGTTGTATTGGAATAATTTTGACTTTGACTTCTCTTGTCGTCATAAAGATGACATGATTTAGTTTGATAAAACCCCGGTCCTGGCTAAAGCTAAAATGGCTGCTAGCTGCAAGGATAACCAAGCTAACTAGCTAACTGCAGATACATAGATACTGTGGCACCTTGGCCTTTATTGCCTGCCATTACCAATCCTTTGAGCTTCGTCTGACCTCCTACCTTTATTACTTAGGGCTTTTGTTTTGCCTGACACATGGAAATGAATTGCCACTGACAATGGCACTCAGCTGAATACTTCTCAACTCTCAATTATTTTTATTTTGAATAAATGTAGATATATATGACACTCTGCCATTTAACTTTTAATGCGTAACATAAAATGCTTCTCAGGCGGGTCTCCTCTATTTCCTCTCTTTTTTTCAAAGGAAAATCACACCAAAAGCAGGATTTTTAAAGTGAAAATTAAATAAACATCATGTTTAATGTGTCCTGAGTTTTCTTTTTAATAATTGCATAGCCTTGACTACCATTACATGTTTTTTATCAGCAGTTTAGATTTAGCTACCCATTGGACAAACAAGGCAAGGAAAAGTGTGACAGGGTAAAATATCTGCCCACCAGCCATCCTTGAAGCTAATGTCTGATTTAATTTATGTTTAAAACAAAAGTGTAAAAACAACACATTGTGGTTTTACAAAGGGTTGTGCTGAATCTCTGCTTTTGTGGCAACTTTAATGTGACAACAAGGCAGAAAGGCCTTGTGTCCATCCAATAAATAGTTAATTACAAAGCTCCTACAAACGATGAAGCCAAAAAAGTAATTTCAGGCTATTATTTTAAAATGAACCGTAAGCTAATGTTACGTACATATTGGGATAATGTTATTCAATATGTTACACACAAGTTTATTAATTTAATGTCAGGGCTAAAGTTATATTCCCCTGTAAAAGAAGTCATAGGCAGTTGTGCTTTATGAACAATTTATTGAAAACACAGCAAAAATATGCATTTTGACACTAAAACCATTACATAAAGCAACTTAGGACATACAGTATGTTCACTGTATTAGACTATGAGTTAATAAAAGTGTGTCTTTAACAAAACGTTGAAGCTGAAATGCCACATTTCACTGAAATAGTCAGAGAGCTCAGAAAAGGTTGCCTTTATTAAATACTAAATATTGTCACAATAGCACAAACATAATACAATAAATTAGCCCTGCAGCTAATTTTTGCCTTATGTTAAAACCATATGAGATGCGTTGATTCAATCCACTGGCTATTTGGGGGCTTATCAGACTGCATTATATTTTGTAAGGTGTTTATGCTCGCAGACATAACAAAACCGTTAGCTATTCATTACCGTTAAGTGTGAATTAGAATAGAAGAAAATACTTTCAAAGGTGGGACAAATGTGAAATCCCACTTGACAGGAAGACAGTATCAGATTAATTTAAAGGTCCCATGTCATGCTTTTCTGGTTATTAGCTTTTTATTCATGTAAACGGTCTGCAGAGTCACAAACCCTCAAAGTACACCCTGTAGCGAGTAAAACTCTAACACAGAAAATACCTGTCTATGCTGCCCCAGAACGCCTCATTGGAGATTTCTCTTTTTCCATTGTTTTGTTCTTGGGCATAGTGACGTATTTGGGTATAGTTACGTTACGTCCGCGGAGCCGTTACGTTAATACTTCCTCACACACACACACAAAATCTTTTCTCAACTGCAGCTCCGCCGGGAGCTCCAACAAGCCGTTTAGGACAGAGAGTGAATACACATACTATACAGAGATGCTGTATGAGAAACCAATGTGAGTTTGGAAAATTGCACAGTATAAATCTATTTTAGTATACCTCAACAATGGAATTATGATTCGTAGAAATAGCCATGACATGGGACCTTTAAATGCTAAAAAAATGAGGCAGTTGCTATGTTGGGTGATCTGTGTCCTGCTTTCAAATGTATGGCAGTTATAGGTCATCTGTTAGCATGTGCTACTTTCAATTTAACCTCAATCGTAACCTCCAATCCTTTATGTAATGAAAGAAAATATATTTAAATAAATGGAAGAACTTTGAATACGTTTGGATCAAAAATTAAATGTTCCTTCCATCATTACTGTATACATAAGCCGCTTTCACACCAAGTACTTTGCCGTACTTAGTTCCCAGCACTTAGTTCCCCCATGGAACAAAAGAGCAGCTGGGACTCCCAGCAGCTTCTACTGAAGCCTTCCGAGTAAATCGCCAAAACGCCGACACCTCCTCATCTCCACCGCTCCCATGTTTTTTTTTGTGTTGCCATAAGTTAGTCTCTCTCCGTTGGTGCGATGGGGTAATGCTAATGTTAATGTTAATAATGCTAATGCCAGCAAATACAATGGGGGCTTCACAAAACCTTTCAGAGTTTTATGGGGCGTGGTTTGCAATTCGCCCAGCCAATCAGAAATTGGAACTTTTCTCTCCCCAGGATAGTACCACCTCTAGCAGGTACTGAAAAGGGGGCAAAAGTTCTCATGAACTAAGTTCTCTTTTTGATGTGAACTCAAAATCCCAGGAACTATCGGAACTAAAAGGGAAAAGTACTCCGGTGTGAAAGCGCCTATTATCTACCTATACAGTCATTTATAAATACTCTTTTTTGAAGTCGTTCATACAAAAATAGCAAGAACAAGATATACATATTAATTGGCACTGTGCATAAAATACTTCTGGTTTGCCACAGTTGCACATGACAATGAGGATGAGTCTTTAACTGTTTATGTAATTTCCAGGGAAGCTTTGACTGCACATAAAGAGAGGGTCCATGGAGGCCACTTTGGCAGCGATAAAAGAATGTATACAGTGAAGGACGGCCGTTAGATTGGCAAACTCTAGTTCCTGCAACATAAGGACAGATTACAATTAGTATATTATGTTCATACTTTGAATAACAACATATTCAGTGAGACTTAACAAATGTTTGACCCACAAAATGAACATTTGTATATAAATGACTACCCGGAGTTACCTTGAATCTTTGAAGGAAACTTAAACGGGCCCTATTATGCTCATTTTCAGGTTAATATTTGTATTTGGGACCTTTCATTTGACATGTTTCCATGCCTTATTTTTCTCATACTGCCTGTGCTGCAGCACCTCTTTTCACCCTCTGTCTGAAACCAGAGCCCAGTCTGCTCTGATTGGTTAGCTGGCCGGCTCTGTTGTGATGTTCAGCCCCTATCACGTACAATGTGTTAGAGCGCTAATTTGAGTCTTTGCAGACCATTTACATGCAAAAAAAACGATATAACACAGTACAGGAAAGGGAAAACCCCCTAAAGCATAATAGGGCATCTTTAAATGTGCGCTAAAAACAGCAAAACTATTTTTACTTCAGTCATGCAAAAATAATACAGGTTTCCTAAAAGATTCCAGGTATTCATATTGATATACAAATGGTAATTTTGTAGGTTAAGCAGGGTAGGCTAGGGTAGCTAGGGTGGTTCAGGGGGTAATGGGCGTCAGCCAGTAAGATGGTCAGGGGTTCGATCCCCAGTCCCTGCGGTCAACAGGTCCAATTGCCCTCGGGAAAGAAACTTAACCCCAAATTGCTTCATAGGAATTTATACGATGTTGAAGTGTATGCAAGTCGTTTAAAAAAAAAAATGTAAGCTGAATGACATCTAAAGTAATGTACTGTAATCCTTTAAAACATCTCGGGAAACCTAATTTATTACACCAAGAAATACGTCCGTTAGCTCATTGTTAAAGGTGAGCAATAATTGGTGATTAAAAAAAAAATTGAAACGGGTCATTGTGTAGCAGTACTTTTGATGTTAAAAAAAAGGATTACCTTCATCTCTATTTGGTTGCTTTCAGCATTCTTGAAAAGCAGTTTCACCCTGGTTTTCCCATCATCAGAGGAGCCTTTAAGTTGAGAGAACTTATATCGCCACAGTGCAGTCTACAACGGAAAGAGGAGGATTATAAAAACGCAGCAGCCGCACAGGGATTTTCATAATGAGCACAACATAAAAAGGCTACTGAGAGACATTCCGATGTGCAATACTTTGAGGAAATTTCATTAATAACAAAATAAATACTTTATGAAATCAGTGCTGTAACGTTCTTGCAGTGAGAACGATAAATCGATAAATATAAAAAATGAATACACTCAAAATGTACCATTATTAACAATAGCATACCCTTCTCTAAGATATAGTGATTGTTCACATTGTTCTTTAAAGTCCATTGTGCAGAATAAGTGACATTTGAGACATTTATCATGGAAATGTGAGGGTTATTTAAAAATAAATATTATCAAATACAATGGAAACCTAAGAGAGAAAGGACAAGTGTATAGGAAATCAATGACGAAAATAAAAGGAGTCAAATTGCAGTCTCAGAAGCTATTAAGGGAAGAACAGCACAGAACAATTGTTCACAAGAATTGAATTGAACTTAGTAACACTTCACCTTTGAAGAACTTTCTGAGCAGGTGAAGCCTGATCCAAAATCTATGGTGAAGCACAGCACATTCCCCTGGCTGCTGCACATGTAGCTTTTGGACTGTTGAGAGACAATTGACATCTATTAGTATTTAATTCTCAAATAAAAAACAGTGCATGTAGTAGGCCTACAGTTCTCTGTGTGAGTATTGACGACTTCGACCGAACATAAAGAACATAGAAGCCCAAATTAAATATAACTTGTATGTAAGTATAGCTGCACTGTATTTAAATAAATTATACCTTCATAATTTGTGGCAGCCACATTTACCATGGGATGGATCCATAATTTACTCTGCATGCATCACACATCTCAGTCTTAGTCCTCATTTACTTTATTAACACAACAAATAACTTTATCTACATAAAGGACACACATATATAATATTATTAACTCATTCTATCTTATGTGTTTAAGTAATCCAAACTTTATGAAACAGTTTTCATAACCATTGGGATCACACTGGCACACTTTAGTTACTGTAAATGCAGTTATTAAAGTTCATAGTTGACACAATGCTCCCAATCAGGAATCATTTGTAAAATTAAGGTAAGATAACATTTACTTTATTGATCCCTATTTGGGTTGTTTTTCCCAAAGAAAAAAAAAGAATGTCCCTTTTCACAATGGCAAAAAGTCTCTCTGAGAGAAAGGATCTAATTTGAAAGGAGTCGGCTCTATGAGTTTTGACAGACATACTATCTGCACCATTGACCCATAGCAAGGCGTCTTGGCAGCACTCCAAAACGGTGGATGCTAACAGCTTATTAGCAGTGTTGCTCCATCCAGTTTTATTTAACCTGCTCTGCAAAAGACAAATATTTAACGGACGGGTTATGAGACAAAAGTCGTTGATACAAATAAGACTCATGAACAAACTTATCTTTACCTTGAACAACCAAGCTAAAAAGCTAGCACATTAGCAAGCCGAGCTACAACAGTTAGCTGTGGGTTAGCAGGCTTGTTAGCGCAGTTAGCTTTTTCTCTCTCTTCAATTGCCCTTTCTTACAGCAGATATGTTGACGCTTGTGTTACTTTAACACTTAGGATGGGTATTTTCTATTACAATATTCTAATGTCAGTGACAGTGAGCAGCCATTCACAGCAGCCATATGGAATTAGGCCTTCATTAAATTGATCATTTACATGTGTATTTTCTTTCTTTGACAAGTCAATTCTTACTCTTTTTCATTACTGATGGTATGTAGTTTGGTTGTGTGTGTGTAGAAGGTGGCAGCAGGAAGAGGCATATATACGTGCCTTGATCCCTGCCGAGTCAACGCACAACTGTTGATTGGTGTCAGTGCCAAAAAAACACTTTTTAGGAGCAATGCGCTCATGGTATAGATGTGACGCATACATCTTAGTTCCTACTCTTTTCCCTCACCCTATCCTAAGGGAGTGCATGTACTTAGACACGTTGTGCCTCTCCACCTCTGTTCCTTACTTCTTACTTGCTACCCTTTTCCCTCAACCTATCCTAAGGGAGTCCATGTATGTAGACACGTTGGTTTAGCTGCTATAGGCTTAGACTGTCGGGGGGCACCTTACTTCTTCCTTCTGTCTGTCTGTACCTGTGTACTCTCATGTTCCGAATAACCCAGCTTCCCCCAAATGTATTATAGTCCTGGATCCGGAGTACTGGATCCTGTGTCCTGGATCCTCTATCCTGAGTTCTGGATCTGAGTCCTGGACTTCGAGTCGTGGCTGAACCTGTCACTGTGGTCCTGCCTGATTCTCATCATACTACTTCCCTGATGGCTACCACAGGATTGTTGACATCCTCATGGATTCATCTTCTTATTATAGACACATGCATTTCCAAACATTTGGTCTTTCCAAACATTCGGTCTACCTATGCTGTAAAATGTATTATCTCTTCGATTTACACACGGCCTCTATTGCACGTTTGTCCGTCCTGAGAGAGGGATCCCTCCTCTGTTGCTCTCCCTGAGGTTCCTCACATTTGTCCCTTTAAACTGTGGGGTTTCTTTGTAAGTTCTTCCTTGTAGGATGTGAGGGTCTAAGGACAGAGGGTGTCGTATTGTCATACTGATATTCTGTACAAACTGTGAATTCCACTGAGACAAATGTACCATTTGTGATATTGGGCTATATAAATAAACATTGATTGAT